CCGGGCGCCCGCGCCGCCCTCCGCAACGGAAGACGAGCGGCCGAGGCCACTTCCGGTCCGTGCAGCAAAGCGCTCCGGTGCTGGGGCCGCCGCTCCGGACGAGGGTTCCGCCGCCGGAGTGGTCCTGCGCGGAGTCGGAGGCGGGAGGGTGCGGCCGGGCCGACCCGGTGGGAAAGGAACGGGGTTCAAAGCTCGGGACAGGCGTCCTGCCCAGGCCAAAGCCTGCAAGTCACTGCCCACCGGCGGTGCCGCGGGACAACCCCCTGGGCTAAACAGCACAGCGTAGTCCAGATTGGTTAATCCTCGGAACAGTCCGGTTTTGTTACTATTTTAAAAGTGGTTTATGCCTTAAGACGCCTGCACGCCCTGGAGAGAGTGAGACAGACACAGTGAGGGAAAGTGAGAAATCACCACCCTCGCCCCCATCCCCGGGATGGCCACACCGCAGTTCCTTCTGCCCTTGGGATTTGGGGCTCGCCCGCATATGCCCCCGTTGTGCGTTTTAAGCTACTGGATGCGGGACTCGAACCACATTCGGCCATGTGGGAGTCTAGCGACCTAACTGCTACACCACCTGCTGGTCCCAGGGCGGTTACTATTTTTATGAGATCAGTGAGGAAGCTCGGAATTTAGGTGCTGGTCCAGAACACCAGGCAGAGGAGCAGACTGGGGGCACTGGAGGGGCACGTGTCCGACGACTTGTGGCCAGTGCGGAATGAGCCCTCCGGGCAGGGCAGAAACGGTGCTGCTGTGTGTGGGTCTCTCTGCTCTCCCTGAGGGGGAGACCCAGTGGGTGTACCCTGCAGACCCTGAAGCAGCTCTGTAGAGGCATAGAGGGGAGCCGACTTGGCCTCGCCTGAGTCGCTCAGAAAGTGACTGATCAGCCTCAAGTACTCTTTCAGAGAAGCCTCCATTGCTCCACCCTGTCGAGCTTTTAGGCACTCACACACACATGCCTGGAATGCCTTTCAGGCCCAGTTGGGATGTGAGCTGCAGCTGGCAGTGTGCGTTCCAGCCTCCTATGCACAGTATTTAACCACTGTGCTCGGGCCTGGCTGAATGACTACAGCTTTTTTGAGTAAGTTTTAGAGTGATTTGTGATGCAGCAAGAGATAGCTAACATACCTCTGTACTCACCCCACCCCAGAAAACCGGGCTTAGGTCCCAGACGCAGCCTAATCACTGGGTGTATGCTGTGGAAATTCAAGATACTACTCCAAAAGTCTTTGCCCATTTGTCAGATGGGTGTTTGCGGACATTTAGAAGTAAGAACTTAAAGTTTGGCTGTCTCCTTTCTTTTTATTAGCGCTCTGGCTAGCTTAGGTTAGAAGTTCCAGGCAATTCCTAGCTACTAGGACTTCAGTAGGCTTAAAAATCTTTGCTTTGCTTGCCCTTCTGTTCCCCCGTTGCTGCTGTAGTTACCATGGACACTTCTTAATAACACTTGGGACCGTAGAGAAAAAGCTGCATTTTTTTAAAAGAGAGATCTTTTGCTAACGCACAAAAATGTGCTGGCTGGAGAGACAGAGAGATACAGAGAGACATAAGGAAGAAATCACCCCCTCGGGGGCATGGCCACACCACACTCCCTTCTCCTCCGTTCTCCTTTTGGAACTTTGGGCACGCACATACATGTGACAGGCAGAAGTTTTAAGCCACCAGGTCTGGCACTCAAACTGCAGTCGACCACGTGGGAGTCCAGAGACATAACCATTATACCATCTGCTGGTCCTGTCTTTTTATCCTAGCCATCTGTCTGCGTTTACAGTCACTTAAGAATGGCTCTTGGTTGAACAAACACGTCTTGAGGTATGCTACATGCAAGAAGCTGGGAATGAAGACTTCCTGCCAGCGCCAACAGCTGGTGAATGTAGTGTCTGTAGTGTACGCATTACTATGGAAGCCCCCTAGCCACGGTCACCAGGACACCTGAACTCATGCAGAGTTAAGTTTAGTAACTTTGGTGCTGCAGAAGAGAGCATGCATCTATAGATGTCCCTAGCTACCAGTGAGTTAGAAAGAGCTTGCTATAGTGTTTGGACTGATACTGGCTGATTTTAAGGTGGTCTCAGGGAGACAGGAGTTTGTTTTGGAATGCTATCAAGAAGCGAAGACAATTCAGCAATTGGGCATCTCAGAATCTTTGTTCTGGAGACAAGAAACCAAAGGGGTTGGGGATGATGGCGGTAAGAAAGCAACACTCAGAAGGGAGTGTTAGTCATGTAGCCATGGTGTGGCCGATGGCATAGTCCAGGAGAAATATTCTGTTGATATTCTGTTATTAACACTGTGGTCTGATTACTAGCAGGATTTATTTTTATTTTCTCAGTATATTTTCTCATTTTATTTTTATAATACTATAATTATCTCAGTTTTATAGTTGAGAAAGTAGGCTCGAAGAGATTACAGATCAGTAAGATGACCTAGCGGGTAAGTGGTAGAGCCGACTTAGTAGTAAGTCTGAGCGTGTGATTAGGGCTTGTGCTCTCAGGTATTGTTCTTCGGCCTCTGTGACAAATATGCTACTGGGCTTCCTTGGAATTCCTCTAAGGTTAGAGAAGAAAATTGGTGAGTGAACACACCTCACGACGGTCTGTGAGGATACAGCCTACGCTTTACCCCTCCTGCCAAATTTCTTCTGGTCCAGAATGACATCAGGAGTCAGCGAAACCACCCAATCGCTACCACTGCTGAAATGAACCGAGGAGAACATGATCCGTCCAGTTCCAAAGATACGGCTCCTGATTTCCGGCCAGGACCAGGAAGTGCCATCAGACCAGTTACTGACTTCAATGGCGAGACCCTGTGAAAAAGCTTCAGATGACGTCTGTCTGGTTGCAGAAATGGAAAACAAGATTTTTTCCGTTTTCTCTTGTTCCTCGGGGCAACTCCCACATAAATATCTAGTATCTCTCCACTTGGGGAGATAAAGGCCAGGCCTGAAAGACTGATGCCCGAGAGGACGTGGGGGGGGGGGGGGG